GGGCCCAGGGAGCATGCGAGGGTAGCTGAACCTCTGGACTCATCCAGAAGGTCTGCTCAGGGGGAGAAGAGTGGGCTCGGTGCGGGTCTCCTGGAGGGAAGTGGCTCCAGGACAGACATTCGTGTTGCGGTAGAAAAGGCTGTTCAGCCCGACAGGCCTCGTGCTCCTGCTGGGGGGGCATATGGGGCCCAGCACCCTTCCCCCAGCCCTGTCCCCTGCCCCGCTGTTCCTCAGCACTGGGTTGTGCAGAGCTGACCCCCGTGGAGAGCAGCCTTTCCTCTTTCCTTGTCCGCATCTTGAGGCGGAGGGACAAGCCAAGGGCCTGCGGGAGGACACGGCAGTGTGGCAGGGGAGCCAGGGCCCAGGCCCATGCTCAGCGTGGGGCAAGGTGGGGGGGGCAGCACATCCAGGTGCCTGGGATGCCCCTGTCTTCCCAGTGCAGGTGCCTTGACCTGGCTCCTCCGCTTAGTCAGAAGATGTCCCTTGGTGCTGTCAAGGCTGGGGGCTCTGCTCCCTGCCCTTCCTGTCTGTGTGCTGCCCCCAGCGCTGCGGGTGCAGGGCGGCAGGGGCACCCGCGGGCCACGAGGGTTGCACGGGGACAGGCGTGCTGGAATGTTGTTTTTTCCACCCTGGTTTCCTCCAAGGTAGTAAATCAAGGCTGCAAAAGGCTTTTGTTTCCCCCGGCGCGCAGCAGTGCCGAGGCCAGCCCTGCCCGCGCGGCGGCCGCGGGGAGCGAGGGCTGTGCCAAGGAAAGCAGGGCCGTCCTTGCTGTGGCCTCCAGCCCCCTCGGCTCTGCCCACGTCTCCTCCGTGCTCGCTGCTGCAGTCCCACGCAGGGTCCCTCGTGGTGCTCGTGGGTGCCATGCGGCTGGCATGAGCAGGGCTCAGCCATGGGCTCCTCTCCTGGAAAAGGAGGACCAGAGCAGCGCCCCGAGGCCCCCAGGAGCCTGTGGTGTGTGTGCTATTGCATTGCAACAGATTTGAGAGCAGCCGGGGACAGGGTGGCCCAGGCTTGGCTCCAAATGCCCCTCGGTGACAGCTACACCACGGTGGCGTCTCCCATGTCAGTTGCAGAGACAGCTCTCCCTTAAAGAAACACAGGGAGAAAGCCCCCGGCATGCTTCATTCTGGGATACTGGATGTGCCCACTCCTTCACGGGGCATGGCTAAGGCAGGACAGGAGTCTCACAGGGCGGGGATCAGGACCCCACTGCCCTTTCAGGGCTTCTCACGCCCCCAACATCCCCCCCTGCCTGTGGCTGCCTCGGGACAGCAGATGCTCCCTGCGCTCCAGGCCGGCCGTGCGTGGCGCAGGAGCAGCTCCCTGCGCCTCTGCCCAGGCCACGCTCCGGGGATTCCCAGTGCCAGGGCTTGTGGTGTTGACGTGGGACGCGTTGCTCGGAGGCTCTGCCAAGCTCCCTCCGGGGGACGCTTGGCACTGGCATGCCGAAGGTGCAAAATCCCCCAGTGTATATATTGCGGCTGGTCTATTTTGGAAAGGGAAGGAGTTGATCTTGTGACTGGAGCTGGGGACTGAAAGTCTGGGCAACAGGATCCTTCCTGAGTGACAGCAACCCGCTGTGTGACCTTGGGGGAAACCCGAGAGCCCCCATCCGTCTGTCCCTCTGTCCATCCTCACTGGTGCTGCCCCCAAATCACCCTCAGCACAGCACAGTTTCCACCCCTCTACTCCCCTCTCCTGCCCACACTCCTGCTTAAAGATGCTGGAAACCAGGTGTAGGGCAGTGATGTGTCTGTGCAGATGTGGGATGCTGAGGATGGGACCTGGGCTCAGTGCTGGTCCCTGCCTTGCGGCTGCCTCCTTGCAGGTCCAGGCGCTCTCCTGTGCTTCCCATTTGCAGCTGGGCCTCTCCAGCTCTCGCTCCTCTTTGGCGCTAAGAGGGCCAGCCAGGGCCCCTCCACGGTCCCCAAGGGCCCCTGCCCATGGGCACATCCCTGCTGGGCGCTTCAGTGCTGAGGGCAATGGGGGAACTGTGGCCAGATGGAGGCGGGAGGAAGGTTTTCTGCAGGCTCTGGCTCCCCAAGATTGGCAGCCAGGATGCCTGCAACGCCTGCCAAAAATATTTGTGTGGGAGGTGGAAAGTTAACTTTAGTTTTCCTTTTTTGGGAGGGGGGGCCATGGCAGGTTGTGAAAAAGGCAGGCGAGAGGCGGGGGGAGGTTTGCTGTGCTTGGGTGAGTAGGCAGGAGAGATGGCAGAGAGCAAAAGTCCTTCCTGCCACCAGGCTTCAGCACTCGGGGAATTTGGGTCTTTTTTTTTTCTCTCTCTTTTTTCTTCCCTCTCCCCTCCCCTCCCTGGCAGTGTTTTGCAGCGTGCTTGTTTCTCGGAAATGCTCCGGGCTCTTCTTGCTGCAGGGGCTGGCTGCAGAGAGCACGAGGTGTCCCCGGCAGCGCTCCCAGGATGGGACAGGGCCACTGCAGACCCCAGAGGCAGGTCCTGCCCTGTCGAGGGACCCACAAACTGTCACAGCAGCGATGGTGCAGGACAGGTGGGCACGCACCAGCCCCATAATGCCCACAGGAGTCCTGCATCCTCCCAAAACCAGCTTGGGAAGGCTTGGGTGCCAGGGTGGGAGTGGGAAAGAGGGCTGTGCTGGCACAGCAGGTCTGAGAGGAAATCTTCTGACCCAGGCTGTGCACATGGTTATTTTAGGAAACTTTCTCTTTGTCCTCGTTTGAGATAAGCCGGCTCCAACAACTTGCCAGGTTTCTAAGGAAAGATGTAGGTGGCTTCTTGCAACTATCAGGGCTCTGCATTATATAAAGAGCAGGGCGAGAGTCTTTTTTTAGCAAGAAAGGCTGAAATTTGTCCCCCCCAAATCTCTTTGCAAACCTGCACTGGATAATTACATAGCAGGAGGAAGGATTTCAGGCCTGGTAGGAGATTTCCTTCATGTGCTTTCAAAAACAGTGTTGCGTTGGGAAATGCCCAGGTGTCTGCTTGATGTCCTTGCAGCCGAGCTCTCCAAGTCTGCTTGCAGAATGGCTTGTCCTTGTTTCCGAGGAGAGATTTCTCATGATGAACAGGGAAGTTTATGTGGCCAAATGGAGCGATCCTCGAGTGGAATTGCAGAAGACGTGTCGGGCTCAGTTAAACATGCTGCATTAACCTGGAGCAAATTCTTCTCACTTCACTGAAGAAAAAAAAAAAAAAAACACAAAAAAACTGGGTATTTTTTCTGGTCAAACCAACCTGTGAGGCAGCTCTAGTAAACCAACCATGGGAGGTGAGGAGCTGCTTAGCCCACAGGCTCAGTGGGACAGGGAGTCCAGGCTCTGAGACCCACCGATGAGTGCTGGGCTGGGCGGGCACAGAGGTGAAAATAGCAGCAGCCCCGCAGGCGAGTGACACGCTGAGAACCAGCCTTGCGATGACACAGCAGACGAGCGGGACGCGGCTTTACTGTGCCGAGCGGCTCTGGCGGACTCATTGCACAGGAATTTCCCCGTTACATGCACTGTAACCCATATCCTGCCCTGCAAGCGATGAGATATCCCTGTCCTATCTGATAGTTCTCCTCTTGGCCGGGTTGCTGTGCGTATTCATCATTCGACAGCGTTTGTGCTCAGAGCAAGGCGAGGGAAGTGGCTCTGCCTGTGCTTGTCCCGGAGCCGCTGAGTCACTCGGTGGTTAAGCACAGCCCCGCTTTGTGCGCTGGGCGTCCCGCTCTTGCTCGCAGGCAGGATGGAGCTGTGGGCCAGGGCTCTGGATAGCCCTGAGCAAACACGGCTGCGGGCAGAGGCTGTGTGGCAAAGGCAGCCTCTCGGCTGGTGGAGGTCCCCTGGAGACCTTGCTATCCCAGTGCTCCCATCATCCTGACAGCCTATGCACTGCCCAAACCAGGCTATGCCGCTAAAGCAAAGGGAGCTGGGGACCATGTCCTGGTCGCAGGACAAAGTGCTTTGCCCACGGTGAGGATGGGCAGGCGAGGGGGTCCGGGCATCCCCACTGCTCCCCTCGCTGGCTGCCTTTGGCCCCCCAAGTCCCCCCGCTCACCAGCATGGGGGATTTTGCGGCTGCCTCGGCAGAATGCAAGGAATTTCCCGCTGGTCTGAGTCACTGTCAAGCCCCGCTTGGAGCTGTGCCATCCCCGCAAACCCCTCGGGAGGAACGCGGGGCGAGCAGCAGCGCCGATGGCAGCCCTGTGCACCGAGCTGCCAGGCCGGGGGGTTTGCAGAGGAGCTGCATGGAGGTGGCTACCTCTCGTGGGGCCCTCGCTTCGCTGTGGCGAGTGGCAGGGGCTGGACTTGCGCATGCCACACTGGGCCCTGGGGAGCTGTAACTCAGCGCGTGCCCCAACAGCCTCCGCGCTCACACTCTGCCTTCCCTTTGCTCAGGTTCCCGGAAACTGCTCCAGCTGCCCCCGTGTCTCTAGAAAGGAGAAATCCCTGGAAAAGGCTCCTTGGTGACATAGCCCCAGTCAGACCTTGCCTAGCAGGGGCTGGACTTGCGCATGCCACACTGGGCCCTGGGGAGCTGTAACTCAGCGCGTGCCCCAACAGCCTCCGCGCTCACACTCTGCCTTCCCTTTGCTCAGGTTCCCGGAAACTGCTCCAGCTGCCCCCGTGTCTCTAGAAAGGAGAAATCCCTGGAAAAGGCTCCTTGGTGACATAGCCCCAGTCAGACCTTGCCTAGACGGAGGTGCAGAGGAAGCCCGTGTGCCACGGCGGCTGCTCTGACGGGAGCCCGGCCACCACACGGCCAGTCCTGCCCACCGGAGCGACCACAGCCTGTGAGCAAAAATCAGCTCCCACGGAGCTTCCCACTCGGACAGTGGGTGCCCTCCGAGGGCCAGTTCCAGGGAGGAGGCAGTGCCCCGGCTGAGGAGCAGGTGGCTCTCAGGAACGCTGAGCATCGTCCCCACAGAGGCTGAAGAAGACAAGCGGGATGCTGAGGGCAACGCTGCGGCAGCCGTGCCTGCAGCCTCAGGCTGGCTGGGCCGCCCCCCCCGCGGCCACTCACCACT